ATGTTATACACCTTTAGATTTTAAAATATAACATTTTGGCAATTTTTCAAATGTTGATATTGAAATGTTAAAGAAATACCCCTAAATTTCCATTTTTGTTCTGCCCCTAAAGGTGGGAGTTGCAGCATGGAGAAGAGTAACTCAGAGCTACGGTTTCAGCACCACCATGTCTTAGCTCTGTGACTGCGGCATGTTAGGCAATTTTGCATTGCAAGATACGGACTCAAACATGTGCCCTCAGGGAATAGGGTTGGGATTTGGTTCTTGTTCCTTTGGTAAAGAATACATATACAAATTAGAAAAACTGAAATCTCAGCTGCGGGTATCAGGCTTCCCAGGAATAACAGAAAAGGTGAACAACCAAGTGTCCTAGAAGAAGAGGGATGCACCCTGGGTTGGGCTTTCTGGAACATAGAATCTGAAGGGTTTTCAGAACCCAAGGCATCAGTTGGTGGATCTTTTCTTTAGAGCAGGGGTTCCCATCCTACTGAACATCCCAATCACCTGGGGAGTGTTTAAAAAAACTGAGGGTTGCTGGAGGAGAGGTGGGTAGGGGGAAGGGATAATTGAGTGATGGGCATTAAGGAGGGCACTTGATGTAAGGAGCACTGGGTGTTATATGCAGCTGATGAATCGCTAAATTCTACCTCTGAAACTAATGAAAAAAATTATAGATTGTGTGAAAACTAAACAAATCCAAAACCAAAAACCTAAAACAAAATAAAACAATACAAAAAAGCCCCAAAACAAAACAAAAATATATAGATTGTGGGGGGTGCCTGGCTGGCTCAGTCCATAGAGCATGTGATTCTTGATCCTGGGGTATGAATTTGAGCCCCACATGTGGTGTAGAGTTTACTTAAAAATACAGATAGAAAGATAGATGATAGATAGATGGATAGATAGATAGATAGATAGATAGATGATAGATAGATAGATGATAGATAGATAGATAGATAGATGATAGGTAGATAGATAGTGAGACCCCATCAGTAAAGGCTTTGGTCTAGTCCATATGCGGCAGTGCCCTGATCACTTTGTTGTTAAAAATCTTCCACATGAATTTTGAATGCCCTGCTCTCTGCATTGCCTGATTTTGCTATTGTTTCATTGTCAGCTGCTTCGTGATCAGCCCACTACCAGTTGGTTCCCTAGCTTCAACTATGTGTGTCTTTATCACAGGGTCAGTGCTTCATCTCCTTCAAGCCTTAGCTCGAATACTACCTTCCCAGTGAAGCCTTTTCTAGTCCTATGATTAAAAACTGTACCATGCCCCTTACACTTTCTAGTCCCCTTTCCTGCCTAATTTTTATCCAACACTTACCCCTTTCTAATATACTCTTTGATTTACCTACTTATCATGTTTATTGCCTGTCCCATCCACCAGAATGCAAGATCGAAGGGGCAGAATTTTTGTGTCATTTGTCCATACTCTATCCCTGGCACCTAAACCAGAGATGCTTAATAAGTATTTGTTGACTACATGAGTTGAATGTGTAATGAATAGATGTTTTCTGTTTAGTCATTGGCTGACATTATTCTCTCAGAGCCCTACCCACCCATGGGCACCCTGTGTGTCTCCTTTTGGATTCAGCTGGCCTGATTGGACCAGCTTTTTGGGATTGAGTGCTTTTTCCTCACCCCTCCAGGTCATTTTTGAATGGGTGCGACCTGGCTGTTCATGTGTCAGGGGTAATCAGCAGTGATTCAGGGATTACACAGTGCAATAGTTACTGCCTGGGGCCTCCCCTTCAGCATGGGTTGTGGGTGGGGCAGTTTCTCCAAGAAGCCAATTTTGGTGCAGAGTGACTGTTCAGCAAATTCCCTAAGCCTACTGAGCTTCCGTAAAATGGTGCCTTGGCCTGCCTTACCTCAGTGAATTCTTCAGAAGTTCCAGTGAATAATGTGTGGGAAATACATGCACATAAAAGGTGTTTTCAACATTCATTTATTAAAAAAAATGAAACAAGATGAGTATGAAAAGTTATTTAATTTTAGATAACATTTAAATGTGGCTTTTAATAAAAAGCCTGAGGGAAATTATAGGGGAGAAAATAGGAATTTAGGAATTTGTTGCTTAAAGTGCCTTTGGGATTCTTTTGCCCCCACCACTGAAAGTTTTTTTAAATGTTATTCCCCTTTCACTGATTTCTATTTTGGCAGGGGCTCCTGGTATATAACTTCCAAAGTGATATTTAAGAGGAATAAATGCAAAGATCTGCACTCAGTCTTCAAAAACAAATTGCACAAATACAGGCTGAAGGAGATATGGTTCTATAGCTATAGATGTATTAAAGACTTCTAAAAGATTTGGGGGTATTTCTGTTTGTATTTGGTTGGCAAAAACATGATATTTATGAACAGTGTGCGGTAGTAGAAAAATGTTATTGTGATATCAAACTGAATTTTGAATTACAAAATTGTAGAAAAGTGTACTTTACTATTCCTCTCTTCATACCTGGATCATTGGACTCAGTTCCAGATGCCACATTTTAAGAGGCAGTAGGGTATGTTTAGATGAGAGTGTATGAAGACGAAAGGAGCATGAGAGGGAAGCGTGGTATGGGAAGGCATGGGCTGTGGTTGCTGGCTTCAGACATTTACAAGGCTATAATGGAGGGGGAATGGGACCGTTCTGTACTCAATACATGGTACTAGATTCCGATTCACTGGGCACTTTAATACGCATTGCATTCATATTTATAATAATGGTTTAAGGTATTACTGTTTTTCCCTTTTAGAGTTGAACAAACATCCTTGGAGTGGTTTTGTGCTAGTCCAAGTTTATACAGCTAGGAAGTATTATAACTGGGATCTGACTACACCCCTTTGGAACTTAAATCCAGTGGTATTTCCTACCAATACCATAACTACCTACAAATTTGTAAGGAGACACATTTCAGTTCAATGTAAGGACTAGAAGGACTGTTCAAAGATGAATACTGTTGTGAGGTAGTGAGTGGTTCCCTATCACTTGGAGTTCAAGCATATGCTGGACAGCTACTTTCCAAGGATCTGGTAGTCCCTCAATTTATACATATACTGTATAAAGAAGGACTTACTTACCTTAATAACAAAATGTTAAAAATGAAGGCTAATCATAGAGCCAAAGGAACATAATAAGCGAGGCCTAGTGAACTTAAGTGATTGAGCTATGTTCATTAATTCAGTAGTTATTGGAAAATATGGCATTCCAACTTCATTCTCTGGATTTACGACCTAATTTTTGTTTTTGTTTGTTTGTTTTCTGTTACAGCAGTTATCCCTTATCTACTAACTGGGTAATACAGTGTGGAACTAGAGGATATGGAAAGAGGAAAGGCAGAGATGTTTGGGAATTATTGTAATGGATTGTTTGGCATGCTCTTGCTTTATTAAAACAAGCAAAGAATGTGAGTGGTAGTAGGAGAGGGTTTTAAATGATAAGCAGAGAATGCCACCTAGTAAAGGAAGAACAGAATACTGTGGAAGGTTAAGCAAGGCAGGGACTGTGGATTGTACTGTTCTTTCCCTCCTGATGAGTAGATGCTCAACATCTATTTGCTGGAAGGAATGACGTCAACCCTCAACAAATATTTAAAGGGAAACTTCTTACTGCTGAGCACTTTGCTATGTCTGGGAACCAAAAATGAACTAGACAAAAATATCTATCCTTTTAAGGAACTCAGTCTAGTAACAAAAGACCACCAAGCAAAGCAATGAGAAAAAAGAAAAAAGTACTAAGGATAATCATAGAGAAGAGATAAAAGATTCCATGAAGGCATAAAGGAAAGAGTATTTAATTCAGTGTAAGTGCATAGGGTGAGCATGTGGGTGTGGAGGAAAGAGGGGATGTCAGGGAAGATTCCAAAGAGAAAGTGATGCATTTATCGTCTTGAAGGAGAATAGGCGTTCACCTGGTTAAATGAAGAATGGATTTCAGATGGGGGAAAATGTCCAGAGATATTGAGACAGCCTTTTGCATCTGTGCGTGAAATGTGGTGGGAGTCAGACCTGGAGCTGAAGAGGTCTAGGGATTGCGTTATAAATGGCCTTGTATACCGGGTAATTAGCTTGAACCTGATTGTCCTAGGTGGACAGCCTCTGAAGAATTTTAAAGAGGGAGGCTCTTTGGTTTTGGAGCATTCTCTGACAGTCAGTGGAACAGAAGCAGAAGTGAAATTAGAAAGGCTTGACCTAGAGAGTGGCAAAAAGTTGAAATAGTGGAGACAGATTATTAGTCACAGGATTAAGAGGAAGAATTCATCCATGGGATTTCAAATCAGAGAACTTTAGTGGGGAGAAATTTGATTGCCTAGTTGTTAGAATGGCAAGATTTTATCAATGGAACTAGGTGATACTGAAGTGAGCGGCACAGTGGGTAATATGCAAGGCCTGGGATTGGGACCATATGGTTGTCCCGAGCTTGTGTGTATTAGCTGATGACTCTTTTGAACTGAATTCAGGAAATGACATAAAAATGATTTGCGCAGTAAAATTAGAAGAAGGAGGACTCTGAAGTCGGTACATTTGTAGAAAAATAACTAGGGTTGGTGAAGATGGGGAAGTCGCCACTATCAGAGGGCCATTTGTGAATAAATTTTGGTCTGTCCAATGGAAAGATCCCCGAAGAAAACCAAATGCCCTGAATCCAGCCCTTCCTCACTACGACCCATTCCCCAGTAGCTGCCTTCATTCTTCAGACTGTGGGGGTCAGAATTTTGAAAATCCTGAAGACCATGTACTCAAACCTACGTATTTCAGGATGAGGACAGAGAAAACAAACGACTTGCAAGACGTCAAGTAGCGGGGTCTTTCCTTAAGCCCGGGCTTCCTGACTTCAGGTCCGGTGCTCCTTCCTTTACCCACACCGCTGCCCACTGGGCAGCGCGTGCGGAGGTTCGCAGGATCTGCCAGGGGGAGTTGAAGGCCCCTTCCTCGCCCCGCCCCCACCGCAGCCCCTGGGGAACTCCCCGTCCCGCCCCCTTCCCGCGCCGGGCGGGGTCGCTGCGCCGCCACTACTCGCGCGCGCGCGGGGTCGCGCGGACGCGGGTCGGGCCGCGGGTGCGGGGAGGTCGCCGGGCCGCCCGCGCCGCCGCCCCTTGCCTGACGCACGGAGGGGCCGGGACGCGATTTGCCGCGAGCGGCTGCAGTCGCCGCCGCCGCCGCCGCCGCCGTCCAGGCCCGCTCCGCCCCCAGCCCGCCTTCCTCCCGCCTCGCCCTCCGCCTCCGTCCGCGCTTCGCTCGCTTCCCCGCGTCCTCCCCACCAACCCCGGAGGTGCCGGCCGCCCGCGCCCGCGCCCGCACCAGCCAGGTGAGTGTGGCCGCCGCGCGGCCCAGGCGGCCCGGGCGGGAGGAGCGCGCAGGCCCCGCGGGCGGGTGGCGAGCGCGGGCGGGTGGACGCGGAGGCGGCGGCGGCGGCGGCGGCGGGCCCCGCTCTCTTCCTGGGCGCGGGCCGCGGGGCTGTGGAGCCGCACGGCTGAGGGAGGGGCGCCCGCGCCCCGCTGCAGCCGCCACCGCAGACAAAGCGCCTGAGGTGGGAGCCTCGCGGGCGGCCTCTGCCTCCGCGCTGCCTGCCGGGTGCGGCCGCGGCCCGCAGAGCCCGGGCTGCTCTGGTTTTTACCCCTGAGCGCCCTTGTTCGTTTCTGGGTGAAAGGGACCCGCATAATGCAACAGGTTTGGGCGTTAATCCTTATTTTCCGGCGGGTCTTGTCCTCCGGGCGTGCGGGCACCACTTGCGGCGGCGCCCGGCCCCCGGGCGAGCGCAGCGTCCAGCTCCGGCGGCGGGCTTCTTTGTGTGGCCGGTGACCAGCCTTGCCCGTTGGGTGGGGGACGCCCGTCCGAGGCCCCCGGGCTGCGGGGAGGCTCCTGGATGCCTCCCTCGCGGCTTGGGGCTTGGCTTCCCCCCGGGCCTGCAGGATGTTAACATCCCTCCAGCCTTTGGAGGAGTCACAAAGGGAAGGAAGAGAGGGTTGGCAGGGATTTGTGGTTATGTATTTATTTTTTATATGTTAGGTAGACTGATAGTAGAAAAGAGCCGCAGTCTGGCCGGCTCATGAGGGTGCGGGTGGGACTTCACCCTGGGATGCACGGTTTGGACTTGCTGCTGCTCTGACAGCAAGTGGTTTTCTTGGTGCGTTGACATCTTTCATACACAGATATCAGCCCAGAAGTTGGAAGTGCTGTTGAGGGAGTAACTCTGTAGCAGCTGGTTGGCAGGTCACCTCTTTCTGCACATTTTGTCCGTGCCAAATATACCCGCCACGCATCCTGGTATAGGTTGGCAAACTCTCAAATTAAAATTGCCACTCAAAATACCCCCATTTTGGAAAATATTAATCCATATGGTTTTCTTTGGCTTGATTTTTGGCTTATTTTCTTAGGTGTGAAAAACTTTTTTCTCCCCCCCCCCCCGCAAGGAAGAATACATAACAAAGAACAATTTATTTTTGTTCACATACCTTGGTCATGCTGTTACCTAGTTGGTTTCATTGGTATGCTATTTTAGTATAACAATACTAAATGGAAGGAAAATATCTTTTGCTTTGAGCAATAAAATGCTTCTTTGTTCTAGAACCAGGAAGCTTTTATACATAATAATTTCTGTGGACAAAAGTTGGTGACTGTCTTTACCCCATGACCCAATACATGAAAAAAATTCCCAAATGACTTAGAAAGCATTACACAACTCTATAGATTGTTTTTCTGTACCAAACTCCAGGAAATCATTTTGCTATGTATTTAATCAAGTAATCTAGACTAAATTTAATGTTAAAATTTGGGCCTTACTCTATAAATTCCCCAATATTAGGGAATGAATTGATTACTTTTAGAGTTTGTTAAGCATTGTAAGCCCTGAAAATAGTAATAGGAAAGAGTAGTGGAGATAGGAGCTGGTGGTGGATTTAGCAGAATGACCGCAGATTGGAACATGGAATGTGGTAGAGGTTGCAAAGTTCCACCTACTTGGGTTTTAGTTGATCAGTGGGCAAGGCCATATCTGAAAAGTAAATGTCCACTAATTAAAAAAGCAGAAAAGAGTGTTACATTCTGGCCTATTTTTTTTTTTTTTCTCGGTGTACTCTGTAGAGACTCCTTGAAGCTCTTTCTAGTCCTTAAAAACAAACTTGCTATTAATAGGGACTTTTCTTTTGAAGAAATAAAATTATACCAAATTAATCTGATCCATAGAAAGTTTCTCTAACATGATTAGTAGTTTTACTTTACCCAGAATACCATTTATCCTGGTAACATCTAACTTCAAAGAGCTTTTATAGCTGTTATAGGCTATAGGAACAACCTCTTGAGAAAAGTAGCATTTTGACTAATGAAAAGGAGCAGAAACTTACATTTCTATAATAATTTTCTTTTATTGAGGTATAATTCATATACTGTAGAAATCACTTTTTTTTTTTTAAAGATTTTATTTATTTATTTGAGAGAGAGAGAATGAGAGACAGATAGCAAGAGAGGGAAGAGGGTCAGAGGGAGAAGCAGACCCCCCGCCGAGCAGGGAGCCCGATGTGGGACTCGATCCTGGGACTCCAGGATCATGACCTGAGCTGAAGGCAGTCGCTTAACCAACTGAGCCACCCAGGCGCCCTGTAGAATTCACTCTTATAACGTGTACAATTCAGTGGTTTTAGTATATTTACAGGGTAGTGCAAACATCACCAGTTCAAGAACATTTCCATCATGCTGAAAAGAAACCCGGATACCCATTTACCTGTCACTCTCATTCCTCCTCCCCTGCACTTGGCAACCATTGATATAGTTTCTGTCTAGAGATTTGCCTGTTCTGGACATTTCATATAAATGGAACCATACAAATATGTGGCCCTTTGTGTCTTTTACTTAGCATAGTAGTTTTAGGGTTCATCCATATTATGCATGTATCACTACTTCATTCCTTTTTATGGCTGAATAATCTTTCTTGTATTGATATGCCACATTTTGATTATCCTTTCATCAGTTGATGGACATTTGGGTTCTCTCCACTTTCTGGCTATGATGAGTAGTGCTGCTATGAACACTTATTTACAAGTTTTTGTGTGGACATATGTTTTCAGTTCTCTTGGGCGTATACTGAGGTGTGGTATTGCTGGGTCATGTGATAACTCTGTTTAACTTCTTGAGGAATTGCCAAACTATTTTCCATAGCTGCTGTAGCATTTTACATTTCCACTAGCAAAGTATGAGGGTTCCATTTTCTCCAGTACTTGTTAATGTTGTCTTTTTGATGAGACCCATCCTAGTGGGTGTGAAGTGGTATCTCATTGTGGTTTTCACTTGCATTTCCCCAATGTCTAATGATGTTGAGTATGTTTTCATGTTCTTATTGGTCATTTGTTTATCTTCAGAAAAATGTCTAATTTATAATAGTTTCTAACTTTATGTTTTCATGTGTATTTTCTCATTGAAATAATTCTATAAGTTAGGTTTATCCCTCTTTTACTGCTGGGAAGCTAAGGTGCAAAGAGGTTAAATAATTTGATTGTTTTTTAACCTTACAGAGTTAGTAGGAGGGTTTAAATATAAACTCAGGTCTTCTAACTCTGCTTCCTGCATTCTTTTCACCCCAAAAGAAATAAAGAAGTTAAATTGTGTTTGCAAATTTACTTGGCTAATCATTGACAAAGTGGGGGAAAATAAATAAAAAGCAAACCAAACAACAAAAAGCAGGTGGCCATACTGCCTCATATTCACCAGACTTTGTTATTCTTTTTAAAATAAGTTCTTTGTTTTCTCCTGTCCTAATAAGGTAGATATGATTTTCATATTTCCTCTAGGGAAGCAGTCAGAACGATTAAACCTAGTAACACACCTTCTTGGTGGCATAGCTCGCTAATCCTAGAACCCACCCTTCACTGAGACATTGTGTTTTATATTACCCTGCAGCTTCCATGTTCTCTATTTTCCCACTAATTTATTTCCTTTATCTTAAAATAATTGAATAATTTCACATTTTTCATAAACATTAAAATTCTGAATGAAACTGAAATTAACTTTTATTTTATTTTATTTTATTTTTTTAAGATTTTATTTATTTGCGAGACAGAGAATGAGAGACAGAGAGCATGAGAGGGAGGAGGGTCAGAGGGAGAAGCAGACTCCCTGCCAAGCAGGGAGCCCGATGCGGGACTCGATCCCAGGACTCCAGGATCATGACCTGAGCCGAAGGCAGTCGCTTAACCAACTGAGCCACCCAGGCGCCCTTAACTTTTATTTTTGAGCAGGGCAGTTTGCCAGTTTTCATTTTGAAGTGCAGGATTACTAAGGTACATATTTCAGTTTTTATGTGGAACTCTGTATCAGACATAGGTATGCAAAATTATCAGCTCCTTAGAAGGTAGGTAGAGGCCATATGTTATTTATTCATCTTTGCATGTCCATTGTCCACCATAGTGCCCAGCACGATGAATACAAATGAATTTTTTTAACAGCCCCCCCCCCAAAACCCAGTAAAACTTATCTGTTACTCTTTTTTAGAAGAAAGGCAGTACAAATTCCAGAAAAAGAATATTTCTTACTCCAACACATGACCTAAAAAAAAAATAAATGATAAAAATTAGAACTTAATTTAAAATTCAACACTCTGTCTTATGGAAGGAAGTAACTGTTGTTCCATCCTGTGTTTTAAAAAATAGGCTGTAGACAGGGCGCCTGGGTGGCGCAGTTGGTTAAGAGTTCAACTCTTGGTTTTGGTTCAGGTCGTGATCCTCAGGGTCGTGAGATACAGCCCTGCGTTGGGCTCCATGCTCAGCTGCTTAAGACTCTCTCTAACCCTCTGCCTCTCCCCCTGTGCACACACACTCTCTCTCTGTCTGTCTGTCTCTCTCTCAAATAAATAAATCTTTGAAAAAAAAAAATAGGCTCTAGGGACGCCTGACTGGCTCTGTTGGTAGAGCATGTGACTCTTGATCTCGGGGTCGTGAATTCAAGCCCCATGTTGGGGGTAGAGTTTACTTAAAAAAAAAAAAAAAGTACCTGGTGGCTGGCACAAGTGCTTATTAGCGCAGTGCCCATACTTAGGAGCTACACCCTGAATGTTTGTTAAATAAATGAATGTCCAATGAGTGAATAAAAGGATTAGTTTTCATTATAACAAATAGTGGAGATAACAGTAAATGAGTATTTAGGCTGTGCTTTTCATTTGTATATCTTAATAGCAAACATGATACATGTTCATTATAAAAATTCAAATAATATGTGGGTATTCAATACAAGCTGAAAATCTCCCTTTACTTCTTGTCCCCTTCCCTTCCTTTACCCCCAAGATCATTCCTGTCCCAGGTAACCATTATTAAGTTTAGG